TCTTGGCCATTAATTTAAGTGTACAGTTCAGTGGTATTCAGGACATTCTTACTGTTGTGCAAGCATCACCACCATTCATCTTTAGAACTCCTTTTGTCTTGCAAACTGAAACTTTCTACTCCTCAAATAATAACTTCCTATCCCCCCTCCCCTCTCCCCCCCCCATGCTTGGTAACCACAATTCTATTTTCTATCTCTGAGTTTGTCCATTTTAGATACCTCATTTAAGTGGAATCATACTGTGTTTGTCCTTTTGTGTCTGGCTTAATTTCACATAGCATGATGTTTTTAAGGTTCATCTGTGTTGTAGCATGTATCAGAATTTAATTTCTTTTTATAACTGAATAATATTCCATTGGATGTATACAACGTATTTGATTTATCCATTCATCTGTTGATGGGCATTTGGATCATTTCTTCCTTTGGCTATTGTGAATAATGCTGCTTGGAACATTGGTTTATGACTGTATGGTTGAGTCTCTGTTTTCAGTTCTTTTGGGTGTATACAGAAGAGTGTAATTCATGGATCATGTGGCAATTCTGTGTTTAACATTTTAAGGAATTACCAAACTGTTTTCCACAGCAGCTGCACCATTTTACATTCCCACCAGTAATGTACCAGGATTTCACTTTTTCCACATACTTCCCAACACTTGTTATTTTCTTTGTTTTGATAATGGCTGTCCTCATGGGTAGGAAGTAGTGTCTTGTGGTTTTGATTTTCATTTCCGTAATGACCAGCGATGTGGAGCATCTTGTCATGTGTTTATTGGCTATCTGTGTATCTTCTTTGGAGATTTGTCCATTATTTGTCTTTACCCATTTTTCAGGTGGATTGTTTTTGTTGTTTTGTTGTTGTTGTAATCATTTATCAGATATATACTTTTCAAATATTTTTTTCATGTTCTATAGGTTGCCTTTTCACTGTTGATAGTGTCCATTGATACACAGAATTTTTAATTTTGATGAAGTTTGTTTTATCTGTTTTTTCTTTTGTTGCCTGTGCTTTTGGTGTCATATCCAAGAAGTCATTACCAAATCCAATGTCATGAAGTTTTACCCCTATATTTTCTTCTAAGAGTTCTATGGTTACCATATTAGCTCTCAAGTTAGGTCTTTGATCCATTTTGAATTTATTTTTGTATATGGTATAGACTAAGAGTCCATTTTCATTTTTGCCTGTAGATACCTATTTTTCCAGTATCGTTTGTTGAGAGACTGTCCTTTTTTCTATTGAATGGTCTTGGCACCCTTGTTGAAAATCAGTTGAGCATATATATGAGGGTTTACTTCTGGGCTCTTTATTCTACTCCATTGGTTGGTATGTCTTTACTTATGAAAGTACTATCTGTTTTGATTGCTGAGCTTTGTACTAACTTCAGAAAACAAAATATGAGTCTTCTACTGAGTTCTTTTGATGCAGTGCGAGTAGTCTTTGATTGCTTCCTTGCTATCTGGTATGGTAAGTAGTTTCAGATTTATCTTGTATATCTCTGACCTTAGATTTGAGATCAGCTCTTTCTCTAGGAGGTTCATTAAAATTTGTTTGTTTGTTTTCTTTTGGTGGGAATGATATTTTAAGAGCACTATCTAGGCATTAGGGATACTCATTGCAAATGGGTTGGTCTTTGTTCTTAGACCTTTTAAATGGGCAGAGGTAGGAGGTGACTATGTGCATATCTAAAGGCAAATTATATAAAGCTATGCAAAGATGAAATACTTCATGAGTTCATACTGATATTTCCAATTCAGATTCAGGACTACTTTGTTACATCTGTAGGTCTTTTCTTCCACACTGAGAATATTGGTTCTCAAGGTTGTAAGGGATGATAGAATTAGACTGTCTTGTGGTTTACTTGTTTGTTTTATCCACGTTATATACACAGTAACCTTAATAACAGTAGTCATACCGTTTCCACAATTACATTTTCTTTCTTTCTTTCTTTTCTTTTTTTTTTTTTTTTTAAGTGGCAGTAATTTTTAAGTCAGACTGACTGAGCCACTTCAGGTGCCCCCACAATTACATTTTCTATAAACAGTTAAAAATTTTTCTTTGGCCTAGTTATCCCCATTTTTAAAAATGAATATATTCTACCTAGAGCATAGATGTTTCGTATTATACTCTCCCCCTCAACCCTCATTTAGTCTTAGTTCTATGAATAATTTATATCTTTAATGCTCACAACCAGTCCTTTTGCTACATGTCTTTAGTTAGTTGGCTTTCCTGAGTCTTGCTTACTGGTAGATTCCTCAAGAGGGGCTCATAGGAACAATATTTCCTCAGTTTTGCATGTTTATATATGTTAGATACAAAGTCCTTGCTGTATATCTTCTTTCCTTGGCTAAAACGTATTTCATTTTCTTTTAGCATAAAATCTTGCAGAAAGTTGGATGATATCTTATATTCTTTCCCTTAAAGTCTCTTGGTCTTTTTGTCTAGAGGCCTGAAGGATTTTAAATTTTTCTTTAATAGAGCTTACACTATATTCTAGTGAATTATGACTTTGAAAAAATTGAAGAGTGATTGTTCTGGGTCAATATTCTCAGGTATCCAGTATGTTCTTATTAATACCGAGTTTCAGATCATTTTTTATTTCAAGAAAGTTTTCTTAAAAACTTACTATAGTTTGTTTTAGTCCCTTGTTTTGGAATTCGTATCATCTCTGTCTCTGTATGTTGAACTTTCTTTGCCCAGCTTCATTGTCACTTTCTCTGAATTCCTTTCTCTTTATTTCTTTTTGATTTTTAAATATTTCCTCCTTTCATCTTCTATTTCTCTTAAGTCATTACTTCTCATGTTTTTGTGCCCCTTCTAGTTTAGTCTTCATTTCTACAATGATTTCTCTTTTACAGATTCTTTTCTCTTGAGTCTTTCGCCTCACTTCTGAGTTTTTCTATTTCTGCCTTAGGTTCTTCTTTACGTCTAGTATAATTTTCTTGATATATTTTAACTTGTTTGAAATAGTAGTTCACATTTCCATCTGTTTTTTGGCTGTGTTTTTGTGACATGGCTTTATTAGCTATGCTCTCCAGTATGGTAACCAGTAGCCATGCGTGACTATTTAAATTTAAATAAGTTAAGATTAAATGAAATAAAAAATTTAGCTCTTCAGTTCCATCAGCCAAATTTCAAATGTTTAATGGTCACAGGTGGCAAGTGGCTACCACATTGGACAGTATAGATGTAGAAGATTTCTCTTGTTGCCGAAATTTCTGTTGTACAGGCCTCATTTATAAAAATGAGGATGTTACTCTATTCCTCCCCCTCCCTTTTCTTAGCATTGTGTGGGATTTGACATTGAGACTTTTCTGCTCCTTTTGATGTGAAATTGGTTTCCTTATCTTTTAAAGGTTGGCATGGCTCCCTCTTCTGTTGATTTTAGGTAGTGTTAAAAAATACGGTGGCTTAAAAAAAATGGTGGTATGGTTTTTGAGATTTCCTTTATTCCCCTCCTGCACTTTCACTGGACTTTCTCTTTAGTTGTCTCTATATTTCTGCGCTCTCCAAGTTTTATTGGACCCTCAGCAGTTTCTTCTTACAGTGGGGTCCTGTCCTTGCAAGTCTCCTAGCCTGTGAGTTTTGAGAGTTCAGAGCAGCTAAACTGCCCTAAGCCCTTTAACCTTTTCATGGGCCTCCTTGTGCTCACCTAGTACTAGATTGAACAAATGCATTGGCCCACCATACTTTACAGTGAAAACCTGTTGGCTCTTTGGTTTTCTTGTTGTCAGGATCATCAGAATCTCTTATTAAACATCCCTCTGCTTCCTTCTCCATGGCATCTAATACCTGCAGGTCTTATGTCATAGGGATATTTTTTCCCATTCAGTTTGTTATATGTGTTCTATTGGCTATCTAGTTGCTCTGTTTTAATGAGGGAACTTGGGAAGATTGAAAGACTATATTGCCAGTTGCCATCTATGCAGAATTTTATTACTTTTTTAAAGGGTGATAATGAGGTATTTTAAAAAAATCTCTTTTATTGAGACACACTGAAACATTACAAGTGAAATATTATTTGGGATTTGTGTCAAAATGATCCATTGGAGTGTGGCAGGAAGGTGGATGAAATAAGATTGGCCATGAGTTGATAATATTGAAGCTGGGTCATGGGTACATGGGGCTTTATCATACTATTCTTTCTTTTCTTTGTGTGTGTAAGTTTTAGAATAATTCACAAAAACAATGAAGAATGTAATGAAAAGTTTTCAAGTCAGTTTTTCGTGGCCAGCTTTCCATTTCTCTACCTCTGAATTATTTCTCTTATATTTATAGAAAATGACATCTTAATATATTACATAAGTGACATCAGTGCACACAGCAGTACTTGTCACTCTATCCTTTCTTTTCCCATCTCATACTCACTCTTCTCAATATGCCTCCCATTAAAGTTGCAGCTTGACTTGTCTCATTCTGCATTGGCATTTATGCATTTCACTTTAAACATAAACTCATGTCTCATTCAGCCTTTCCCTGGAATATCTTACTATGCTTCGTAGATAATTTTATCTTCCATCTATATTCCTTTTTAGATCCAGTTACTGTTTTAGATTCTGTCATTCTTCCTATTTCAGAGAGGGGTTCCAAGTTAATTTGCATATTATATTTATTATATGGACTTAAAATACTTAATAGGGACTGTGTAATTACACTTTGATGCTTAAAGTTGAAATTTGTAAGCTTAGTTTTCTTCAAGGTACATACTGTATTCCTTGGACATCTTTTGTTACTTTCTGAGATAGAATTTTAAAGTTCTGTTTTGGGGATGATATTAACACCTACCTATTTGGGTGATATTGGGAGGAGCTAGATGAAATAATACATAAAAAACAATGATGCATAAAAACTCTTAAATCCTGTCACATCATGGGGGTTCAGTAGATGTTAATTTTTGCTTTTACTGATGTTATTTCATTGCCATCTAATTACCTATTTAGAGTATTCACATCCTTACTCTTTGGTTAGAGATCATTACAAGAATGTCTTGTGTCTTAAATGGCAGATAGCAGCTGATGAGCCTCCACCAGAAGGATGTAATTCATTTTTCTCTGTGCATGGAAAGAAGACCTGTGATTTTGACACCCTTGAGACTCTTCTCCTCACAGCATCTGAAAGGTAGATTGTATGTTTCTTCATGTAAATGTCATGCACTGCATTATGCTTTCTTCTATATCAAATCTACCATCAGATTTTTCTTACGGGTTTTATAGTCTGTAGGTACAGTTGCTTAGAGTATGGATTCTGGAGCCAGACTGACTAGATTTGAATCCCAGCTCCATTACTTAAAATAGTTTTGTAAACTTAGGCAAATTACTTAACCTTTCTTTCCCTATCTCATTTCGAAGTGGAGATAATAAGAGTACTTAATGTTACTGTTCTTATTTAGTAATGACTGAGAAATTATATAGGCTTTGTCATTAGCTTAGTAAAGAATACCTGTGTATTAAAGCCAGTGCCTGAAGTAATGATATTAATGATAATGATCTCTCAGAGTATTATTAGTTTCAGACAAAGGAGACTATTTAAAAGATCATTGCAAGCTTAATTTGAATATTAAATTGGTAATTAATGGGCTGGCTTTTTTGCTTAATGGTAGGTTTCCTGTGGTGGACAGATATAACAGGTGCCTCTTGCTGTCTGGCTGTGGCAGTAACTGCATTGTACCTTCTTAGAGATAACAGTGATCGTTCTGTGGTGTTGCTCTGCTGTACCAGAAGAGTGTTTTAGGCAGGGTAGTTCTTCTTTAGTAAGATTGTCTGCCCAGCACTTGTTCTCTGCTCACTAAATGGCATGAGAGCCTTTTACTCAGAATGACAACCAGAAAATGGGGTGCGTGTTCCAGCTATCTCCAGGTCCAGGAATGGACGTTCGAAATGGCTTGCGTGGTAAAATGCTGTTCCCTTGGAGTAAACATAATTGATTTAAAAAAACTCTTTCTTTAACTTGTTAAAACAATAATGTAGGGCTTCATAAAGAAAAGAGCCATAGTGTCTCCTCTTCTGAGAGATGGTAACTATTTTTAATGGTTTGTCGTATTGTTTTAGACTTTTTTCTGTGGTTATAAATTTATACAGGTATGTAGATTTATTTTTACAAGAGGTTTCTTTCCATTAGTACATGTAGGTGTACCTCATTATTTTTAACGCGTGAAAAATAACTGTGTAGGAATGTCCCATCGTTTTTTACTGATAGTTTTTAAAATTGTTTCCTATTTTTTTGTTTTTGTTATTATGGTAAGGTTATAGTGAACATCCGTATTTATATGTCTTTACTTTTGATGGAATAGTTTATTATAAAATAGTTTATTGTAAGAGGGAATGGCAGGTCATAAAGTCTGTGCAATAGGATCGATTAATATCTTTTTTTTTTTTTGAGAGAGCGAGCGAGTGAGTCGAGAGGGACAGAAGGAGAGAGAAAACCCTAAGCAGGCTCCGCGTCCAATGCGGGGCTTAATCTCATGACCCCGAGATCACAACCTGAGCGGAACCAAGAATCAGACACCCACCTGACTGAGCCACCGAGGCCCCCAACATCTATTAATATCTTGATACCATTATTAGGGAATTTTTTGTGAGGGTGGAGTTATAAAATTCAGGAGGAAAACTTACATTATTTCGTAGGAAGATCATAGTAGTAAAAATACGGAGGAGGGAGATGCTTTGTTGGCATTTATGTGCTTAAAGCATCCTGTCTTTTCACATTATTTGTACTTATGTTTTCAGATAAAAGGATAATCTATTTAGGGGTGCCTGGGTGGCACAGTCATTTAAGCATCTGACTCTTGATATAAGCTCAGGTCCTAATCTCAGGGTTGTGGGATTGAGCTCTGCGTTGGGCACTGTGCTCAGTGCGGAGTCTGCTTGAGATTCTCTCTCTCTCTCTCTCCCTCTCCCTGCTCATGTTCTCGTTCTCTCTAAAATATATAAAAATTTAAAAAAAAGAATAATCTATTTATATAGTAGAAAAACTTACTAAAGTTTTAGTATTGTGAAATGTGGATATGTTTCCTTTTTCTGGCTTTCATCCTTCTTTAGGAATTGGTAACAATTATGAATCAAAGCCTGCATTTTTATAGTTGGTATTTATATAATATACTTTTATTATTTTTGGTCATGAATAAGTAAGACTAATACCTAACAGTATTCTTACTAACTGAAAACTGTTTCAGATTTTGATATTCTTTGTATTAAGTTGCTTATAATCTTAAGTTATTGCTGCTGTAGCTATCTTGTACTGTTTTTAGTGTTTAAGAACTTTTTTAAGTTTAAAATTTTAAGGGGGGTGGGTAGGAGGATGGGTGAAACAGATGGGGATTAAGGAGTGCACTTGTGATGAGCACCAGGTATTGTATGGAGGTGTTGAATCACTATATTGTATACCTCAAACTAATATAGCACTGTATGTTAACTAAATAGAATTGAAATAAAAACTGAAAAAAAGTTTTAAGCTTTTAATATTTATTTTCAGACCCAAACCTTTATTGTTCAAAGGAGATCACAGATACCCCTCATCTAATCCTGAAAGCCCAGTGGTGATTTTCTACTCTGAGATTGGTTATGAGGAATTTTATAATTTCCACCGCCAGCTTATATCAAAAAGCAATGCAGGCAAAATCAATTATGTATTCAGACATTATATACTTGTAAGTATTGATTTATTTTAGCACTTTTATAAATGTTAATTTGCCCAGCATGATCTTAGCACGTAAGCTAATAATATTCCTCGTTTATAAAATTATTTGAACTGCTTTTCATCATATCTGTTATTTGCACACAGGAGGTACTTTGCTTGCGTTTCTGAAGAAATATAAAACAATTATGCTTAAAAAATGGCTTAATAAAGTTTACATTGTATTTAAAAATGAACCACCTAAATTATATTTTCTAGATTTAATGTGATCAGCATACTGTGAAACTGATTTTTTTTTTTTGAAACTGATTCTTGAATTCCATTCCTTTTAAACCTTTTTTTTCATTTTGGAATGTTTTCATTTGATGGAAAAGGGAGGATTTCTAAAGAGATAAAAGCAAGCAGAGTTGATTTAAAATTAAGTTTTTAAAATCTTTTGTAACATTTAGCATTTATATATATATAGATATATATATGTATGTATGTAAACATATCAGCCTTTAAAGTTTCTGTGTCATAATAAGCTCAGTAAAATTGAGTGGTAAGTCCATACAAGTAAAATAAAATTTTTAAATGAAAATTTGTATGAAAAGAAATAGATTTTTTTTAATATCCAGTTTTTGGCAACTGCTCTCCTTCCCTCTGCTTTCCAGGCTTTATTGCTGTTACTAAAGATTAAAATATCTAAAGCGCCATCCTCATTCAGGATGGTGGTAAGCCTGTGACAGTTGGTCAGCCCAAACCCTACCTGAAGACATTTAAATTTCAATTAAAAATGAACACATAACACACATGGTCCCAACAAAGTACTTCAGGGTTTGAAACCTCATCAGTTTTTTTTTTTTTAAAGATTTTATTTATTTATTTATTGGAGAGCGAGCGAGAGAGAAACAGCATGAGAGAGGAGAGGGTCAGAGGGATAAGCAGGCTCCCCACTGAGCCGGGAGCCCGATGTGGGACTCGATCCCAGGACCCTGGGATCATGACCTGAGCCGAAGGCAGTCGCTTAACCAACTGAGCCACCC